AGTATGTTTTACAGACTCACAGACTTAGAGAACAAACTTATGGTTACCGGGGAGAAAGGATGGGGGAGGGATACATTGGGAGTTTGGAATTGATGTGTACACACTGCTATATTTAAAATAAAATACTGTTCCATGGGGAAACAAATAGTATGTTTTATAATATTATAAAGAATCATGCTTAGGAATACAAGCTCCAAAGTTAGATAACCAAATCTGAATCACATTTTGCCCACTTGGTGCTTGAATGACTCTGTTACTCAAAGTTATTCAAAATGTATGTGCCTTAGTTTCTTCATCTTTTAAATGGAGACTAGTATACTACCTAGTACATGAAGTTATTATGGAAAAAAAAGTTATGTACATGCAAAAGTACTAAGAACAGTTTCTGGAACACAGTAATCATTCAACAAATGTTAGCTATTTCTACTATCTATTATTTTAGTTGCCCGTATTTTAACTCAATGTCATTTCAGGCCCAAAATAGTTTAACTTCTTTTGAAAACTTTTCTGTAACATTCAGGTCTACTACTAGGGAAGGAGTAACTACTAACTACTAACTAGGGAAGGAGGCATCCAGAGAACCTTCTAATACTTTGGAATCATTGCCCTAACCAACAGTTCTCCTGGTAAATGTTCTGCTTTAGCAAAATGTGTGTCTCCAGATATATCCTAGACTTGTGAGAGCAAATGTACCACACACTGCCACAGATCTTCTTTCCTTGCTTGCCAACTGGTGTTTGATAAAATGATTCAAAATTCAGTACTAGCAAAAAAAAAATAAAAGCCAATGAGCATTTATTGAGCTCACCTGTCTGCTGGAGACCCTGCTGATCTCAGCTGGGCTTCTGCATCCATTTGTTAATTAGCTGGAGGTCAGGTGATCCCGGCTCTCATTTTCCTTTGGGAGGCAGCAGGCCAGGCGGAGTGTGTACATCATGGTGGTGGCAGAAGTGGGAGAGAGCAAGCAGCAACATGCAGGGTCTCTTAAGCCTAGTCTCAGCGGTGCACTGCCACTTGTGACTCATTCTGTTGGTCAAAGCAGGTCACAGGATGAATCCCAAAGTCATGAAGTGGACATATATTCCTCGTATGGAAACTAAATGGAGGGAAAGAATATTGCTAAACAGTAATTCAACCCACCACACCCATGTAGACATTATTAAGTGGTCACAATATTCTTTTCCACTGTGCCTAAGTATAGCTTTTATATCCTTAGCTGCCACAGTAATTGCTGGTAAACCTGCTAAATATGAGGGAAAGAAAAAAAATGTGATTGAGACTTCTGGTTTTGCAAATTTTTAATATATTTTACAGAATAATATATCTGAATCTCAAATTCTATTTTCCTATCATGTAAAACATCACACTTATAATTCTGAGAATGTTCTATTCAGTTATTCAGTTGAGACTGAGTCAGTTTGAAAAATATGTACATATACACTAAATATCAATGAAAATTGTCATTAGATTTTAAAATATCAATAATTTGGTTATCAATTATCTATATTTTGTTGTGTAAAGAGAACATTTAAAATATTTAATGGTAGTTTCTTCCTTTTCATTGAAAAAGATCCAAACCTTTTCACAGTTTTGAAACGAAAACCATACAAGAACATATATTAATGTTACAACGCCAAACACCAGCTACACAGCCACTTTTTGTCCGTGTCTTTTAAACCATATTAATAAACCCTAAAACAGTATGTATTTTTCATTTATTCTGTTTATTTTTGAATTAAACTTTTAAAACAATTTCAATCTTTCTTATCTCAAACGGTTTTCTTCACATTTTAATTAAACTATTATCATTTGTTTCCTTGAGATAGTTTCAACATTAAAATGAAGTAAAACTTACATATTTACCATAATAAAATGTAGTACTACAACTTGAGTTTTATAAAATGAATATTGTATTTATATATATAAAACGTAAAATTTGATAGGTATAATTACAGATGATCCTCGAACAACACAGGGATTAAAGGCGTTGACCCTCCCAGCAGTCAAAACTCTGTGCATAATTTATAGTAAGTTTTCTGTACCCATGGTTCCTTCCTAGCTACTGCTGAAAAAAAAACACGTATTGGACCAGGGCAATTCAAACCTGTGCTGTTCAAGGGTCAAATGTACAGTAAACTAGCATTAGGAAAAGAGCGTTTTCCTGGTAAACCAATGCAAAGTGCTTAAAGTGACCACAATGAGAATGGCTCTCGGTAGAATATAGGGGTCTGAGGTCTTGGTAGAATATAGGGGTCTGACTTTCATCTGTAGATGAGTCTATTTGCAAGAAGTCATCTCTCAAATTGAGCACTTTCATGAAAAAAAAAATACTACCTGTTACCAATATGTCATTAATCAAACTACCGATCGCACTGTGTTAACTTCCTAAAAAGGTTAACTTTAAATTGCATGTAATTAAGTAGCATACATTTAAAAAGAAAACAGCCTTTCCACAAAATTTGCACAGGTAGAAAGCAATTTCAGCAACCCTCAGGCATACTTAGTATAATTTTTAAAGGGATTTTGAAAAGTAAAGTGAAAATGGACAGTTTTCATGAAAGTAATTAAGTTTCCCAAAGTGGAGATGAATATATAACTGTAAAGTTGCCTCTGGATCTCTTAACAAATAACAAAAACAACTAATTTATCTTTCCCTCCTGGCCAATAATTCTCTTCATTCCCTTTATCCTTAGCTACAATTTCTGTATGTTGCAAAGATGGTTGGAAAGCCAAAAGCTTCAGGACTTTCCTCAGGTCACTGGACTGATCTGTCCCCCCTCGTCCATTCCTCCAACGCTCATTCGGAGCCTCTGGCTCATTTCCCAAGGCCTCTCTGCTTGATGTCCTTTGCCTGCAATCATTGTTATAGAGGAAATGAGCTTAAAACTTATTCTCAGTGGTCCTGAGTTTAACATGTGTCTTTGGAGAAGGTAGTGAGGATCCCTGAGCCTCAATTTCCATCTAAACTGTAAAGGATGTGAGGAGATTTCTTTAAATTATTTTCAATGCTGTGAATCACTTTGTAAACTATAAAGAAAAAAATTAAGTGCCATAATGATGATGATGATGATGATTTCAGACATCGTCATCTTAATATTTTATTAACTAAATCTCATAACACTAAATGTTTACAATTGCCTAGGGTAAAGGCATACTAACTGTCCCAAGATAAATTCTTGTCTGGTATAATATTCCCTTCTGTTGAAATCTAAGGTAACTCAGTCAGCACTCAATAGATACAGTGATGCTTGTGCCAGAGACTGCCTAGTTTCCCATCACATACCTAAAGGCACTGATTTTCTCCTTAAAATCTTCGTAACTTTTCCCCTTTTGCCTTTATGAGCACTTTTCAAATTCTTAAAACATTTCCACCTGAAGATGTCAAAACGCGCACCTATGACCTTTTACAACGTAGCCAACCTGCCTTAACGACAACAGACATTCTAACCAAAATCCACACACTGCCCATATATTTCCACCCTCAAGATTTTTAATTAAATGATTTATTTTATATTTCTTAACATCCCTAGAGAAAGAGAGAAAAAGTGGCGAGCCCAGGAATTGAGATCTAAGCCTACATTCATTCAAACAACACATTTCATTTAGGAGAATGAATTGCAATAATTACTTCATTTCCTCTATATTCTACTCACTATTATTTAAATGTAAAATATAAACTCTCCTACTATTATGGATACTTGAGAAATGAAGGCAAAATCACCCAACATGTTAAGAAGAGACTGCACAAGGTAGATATTTCGTACTCTATCTTTTTTTTTTTTTTTTTTTTTTTTTTTTTTTATTTATCTTGCTGTACGCGAGCCTCTCACCGTTGTGGCCTCTCCCGTTGTGGAGCACACGCTCCGGATGCGCAGGTTCAGCGGCCATAGCTGACGGGCCCAGCCGCTCCGCAGCATGTGGGATCTTCCCGGACTGGGGCACGAACCCGTGTCCCCTGCATCGGCAGGTGGACTCTCAACCGCTGTGCCACCAGGGAAGCCCTCATAGTCTATCTTTAACTGAAAACATTTCATGCAATTTTTATAGTTCCCACGTGCAGCCTAAGCCCTGGCATAATCTGATCTATGTGTTTTTATGAAGTGTATATATAGAATAAAAGGCATCTCTAATGACTGGATTGACAAAGCTGTAAAATATAAGGTAAGGGAAAAATCATCAATATTTAAGATGTATATACCAGTGGAAATTTGAAAGAATAAGAACTCGATTTAAAAAGGTAGCAGTTATCTGTATCAAAAGAAAATTAGTTTATGTGCAATGGACTCTCTTCCTTTTAGAAGAAGACTAACTTAAGATTGACCAAAATAACTTCACTTTCATGAAGCTTTCCAGTCTTCTTTTAAAGTTATTCAGAAAAATCAGAAGCCTTTAAAAATAATGTAAGTCAAAACTATATTTCATAAACCAAGGAAAACATACAATTTTAAAACATTAGAAAAGCAGGAGATTACATCTCCTTTAGAGATCTAGGGTAATGTGAGGCTAATGGTACAGATACTCAAACCAGAGTTCACTGCTATCTCCTCTTTTTTTTTTAAGGTGTGAAAAATTGGAATGCAATGGAGAGAGGATAATGTTAGTATTAACAATACTCATTAATCTTATTTATTAGTTTCATTATAGTGTGATTTACTAATTAACAGAGAGATAATAGTTGACATTTCCTAAATTCTCATTCCTTGGAGAATTAGCTGACTCATCATTATTTCTATTTCACCTTTCATGCCTTTGTGAAAAGGCACACATTCTTATGTGAAGGCTATTATTTTCCACTTATCTATATTCTTTTCCGGTTTAAGCAATTTATATTTGACATGCATAAAAAGTTTTCAAGTTCACCTAATCATCACATCCTCCAAATTATAAAAGACATAAAATACAACTTAAACATTCTACCATATACAATTCAGAGAGAAGCACAAAAGAGATACTTAGGTAAATGTTTCTAAGAACACAGTAGGTAATTTTCTTCATGTTCTTTATGCTACCAGTAGTTGACCAATGAGTCCGGAATTTCTTTCTTTGATTAAGGCAGCAATAATGGTGGCACCTTGCCTTAAACTTTCCTGTAGCTTCTGTTCATCCTGAAAGAAAAGATAAAACAATAATTATTATAGAAAGAAAAGATATCAACACATTAAATTTAATAAGGACCTACTTTACTTTTATAAAAAAAATTTATTTTTGAAAACCTTTATAAACATAAATACAACATTGTATAAGTTTAAGGTGTACAATGTGATGATGTGATATACATATATATAGCAAAATTATTACTAAAGTAGGGTTAGTTATCACACCCATCATCTCATATAGTTACCATTTTTTGGAAGGGGAGTGAGAACGTTTAAGATTTACTCTCTCAGGAACTTTGAAGTATACAATACAGTACTGTTAACTATAGTCACCATCTGTACATTAAATTCTCAGAACTTACCCATCTTATAAATGGAAGTTTGTATCCTTTGACCAACATCTCCCCATTTCCTCCACTCCTTAGCCCCTGGCAACCACAATCACAGACTCTGTTTCTATGTGTTCAAGGAGACACTTTGCAAGGCTTGCTATTCTTTGGGCTCAGCACTGCATAGAACTCAGACCACAGCCATTGTCCCAAATAAAGGAGAAACGCTTTTATAAGCACTTTCAGTATAGAAAAAATATCTGCTGTAAGTACCAAAAGAAGCAATGACACAATTTCAAAAGCTAATAATATGAAACAAAAGATTATTTTCCCTTAATCCAATATTGAAGACCAACTTTGGCTCTTCACTTAAGTGTGAATATTTCTTTGATGATACAAGCCTTCTCTTCACCTTTTTTTTTTTTCCTGAGGGTTCTTCAACAACAGACTTTGTTATAAACTGTGAGTACTGGTGTGGAGGAAAAAAACAAAACAAAAAACTTGCTTGTTTTTGAAGTAAAGATCAGGCAGATTTGTGAAAAGAGTTATTTCACAAGTTGCTAAAATGTGATTTTCCCTTTGAAATCATATTTCCCTATGAAATTCTGTGTTTTCTAATTATTTAGGCTTCTTGAAGGTATGAGGGGATGAAAATATGAAGGGAAAATGAAAGAGGAAACAGAGTTAATATGTTAAATCCTTGGGTTATGAATTGTGCTAGGTTCAAAAAGAGGGATCTGGTAACCAATTTCTACACTTCGGCATCGTCCGTAATGCCTTATCCCAACATTCAGTAGTACATCACTGGGACCCATTGTTTCTACCTCCTTAACGTTTCTTGAATCCATATACTCCACTCAAACTGCCACTGCCAGCATAATACCTCTGGCCCTGAATTACCGAAACAATCTCATAGTCTCTCTGAAGTCTGTCCTCTTCTATCCTATTTCCCACACAGCAATGAAAATACTGATTTTAAATAATAAAAATCTGATCACATCATTATCCTGCATAAAATCCTTCGAAGGCTATCTTTAAACTTCAGGATCAAGTATTAACCCTTTACCTGGAAGGTATTTTATCCTTCCAGCCTCTCTTTACCATTCCCTTAAAATCACTCAGTTCTCCAAGCCATGTAGAACTGTTTAAGATTGCCCAATCTGGGCTTCCCTGGTGGCGCAGTGGTTGAGAGTCTGCCTGCCAATGCAGGGGACACGGGTTCGTGCCCCAGTCCGGGAGGATACCATATGCTGCGGAGCGGCTGGGCCCGTGAGCCATGGCCTCTGAGCCTGCACGTCCGGAGCCTGTGCTCCACGACGGGAGAGGCCACAGCAGTGAGAGGCCCGCGTACTGTCCCCACCACCCCCAAAAAAAAGACTGCCCAATCAAGCCATTTTTCAAGGTTTCATCCCTTTGCACCAGCTAATCCCTTTGCCAGAAAAGCTGTCCCACTCCCTCTCCTGGCCTAGCTTACCCTAGTTACTCTGAGGTCCAACTCAGATATCAGTGACTCCTGAAATCTCCCTTGACTGCTGTTCTTCAACCCAATTTGAGTGAGGTGAATCTATACGCTTCCATAGCTATGAATTCCTCGAGCACACTGAATTCTTATGGTCTTTTTAGCTGGCCATCTATTCCACCAGATGATCAGTTTCTTGATGTAGAGAATATTTTATCTTTGAATATAAAAAACTTAGTTCAATGCCTAACACATGGTTGCCCTCCATACATTATAACAAATTCAAAGCAAAGGAGGGTTGACAATGATAGACATATGTTCACCCTTTCAGTTTGACTCATTTGTTAACAATGACCACTATTTGGTTACTTTGTTTACTCCTATTTACATATTTAGCCAGGAGTCTGGCAACAGTACAAAGAAGAATATTGTCTTATCGAAGCCTTCCCACTACCACCACGCCTCCACTAGCCCAGGCCTGGGTTTCTCATCTATGATGATGGTAGTAAGACATCACCTCTGCTTAAACTGTTCTTTCCCGTCAGTTTCCCTGATTGTGTTCTAAGAGGTGGAACTGGGGAAGATGCACAGGGGCTGTATGGTGGCTATTTTGCCTCTCGTGAGTGAGTTTTAATGACATTTCAATAATGGATTTCAAATGCTGTACCGGTTTCCAGAATATCAAATCACATTAACAAATCATTTAAAAGCCAAATATGTTTGAGCTTAAAATGTGATTCACTTATATAGGAGCAGATATCATGCATGACACACCATTTATAAATACAGAAATAGTATTCTGGAACTGAATAAAATACAAACCAACTATAGATATGTATTTGTCACTCAATAATTAATTAATTACAATGTTGCAGGGTATGATACACATCTACTCCCAAGTCTCGTTAAAATGAGATATACAACAGATGATGATAATTAAGGTTTCCCATTCAAAAATAAACAGAAAAAGGTTATCTGTATAGCCTCTTTGAAACCAGTTTACACTTATAATGAAAGCAGCATGGTAACAAAGAAATGAAGGGGGAAAACCTGTTTAAGATCCTAGGGCTAGAAAAATCACTTTCTCTATCTTAGAATAAATCTTCCATGCTCATTTTGATTACTCCACAACTTACATATCTTTAGCTACTAACAAATTTAAGTAAGATTCTTTTAAAGATTACTTTGGCAATTTTTTATAGGCATCATTTGGAAAGACTCGAATTCAGTGAGAAGAACCTGTTATTCCACTAAATATTTGTTTTCCCTCTCTGCCTGACCTCAATCATTCCATCTTTGAAAAATATGGAATTTTAAGAGCTGATTTAAACAAGATGGTGAGACATACATATACTAAGAAAATTCTAGTATGTACAAAAATTAGATAGACAAATAATTTATGGATTTCAAACTCATTTCAAAATTCCATAACTCTATAAAAGTATTGATAACATAAGTAAAAAATGCAAGGAAATAAATCTCTAAAAAGCATTTCCTGCTG